TAAAAAAAATTCAATTGAAATTTCAATATACGGTATCAACGATTGCATTCTTTTATCTTAATTTTTTTACTATAAACTGCTCGTCAAAAGTTAGGGATACTGTAAGGAAGTATTTTAAAAACAAAAATATTCAAACTAAGGAAAATAATTTATTTTATAATAAATTAACATCAGTGTCCTCTTATGTGTCAAAAATCTACCAACTCAAAAGTTTGTAGCACCAGAATCAATTTAAAAATGAAACAACAAATTTTGTGATCGTATTCAATATAAAGCTCTAAAAATATGTCTTGGTGCCATTCAGTCCTCATCAAACCATGCAGTTTTAGCAGAATCACAGGAACCTCCTTTAAGTTTACGTAGAAAATATGTGTCTAGTAAACAGATCTTGAAATATAGATCATTTAATACATTTTTAACTCATAAAGTATCAATAGTAAACTCCTATTAGAGAAAAAAGAACACTCCTCCATTAGCCGATGCTTTTGCCACACAAGTCAATTTAATAACTTTATGTCTGTTTGTCCGAAATACCCCGTTTATCAATATAACTACAAAAGTGTTATTTTAAAACCCGCCATCATCTATCCGTTATTTGTTGAACTACCATCATTAAACAATACCAAATTAAATTCAATTTTTAATAGATTAGGTGGTAGGTTAAGTAAAATATTAACAGATGGATCAAGAAGACAAGGAAGTACATAATGTGCTTTTTCGTTCCTTCGACAAATTACGTCGAACATCATCGTCTTTCGGCGAATTAAATCCAGTAACGAAAGTGGCTATTATCACTGACTCTAAATCCTGTTTACAGGTAAATTCAACTATTGCATATAAATATTACCAACATTTGCTCTTAAATCTTAGAAGCGAAAAAGACATGTGATAAGGAGTCGTTGACGAGGTGGCAGTTTATTTAGATTTAGTAACTATATATAAAAACAAATTAGAAAAAGCTGGGAAGCAAATTATAAAAAATACAGCTTCAACTCTAATAATCACTATTTTTTTATCCATAAAGAATTGCCTAGGGTAAGTCCGCATATTGATATATTTGGATTAAATAAATTCCAATCTGGGAACATTACAAGGTTGAAATTTAAGCATGGGCGCTTCCCTGTCCATCTTTTTAATTTTGGCCTATCTACTGGATTCCCCTATATGTATATGTAATAGTTCCTTCACTTCAGATCTTATTCATTTTTTTCAATTGTTCAAACAATTATAATTCAATTATCCAATTGTATAAAATGCCCATTGATATGAATATATTTCCGCCCTATATAATAATATTACGTACCTACTTGCTCTTGAAAATAAATCAATTTATACATGTCTCACAAAGTTCCTATCATCAATTAACCTACTAATATAATTCGGTTTTACCAATCATTTTATTAAAGTTTTTGTATATATATATTCCTCATTTTGTGGCAAACAGACTTTAGTCTAATGCCATTCTCTCTCTCACGCACACACACAATATGGCAAATGTCTTTAAAAAACATGGTTTTGATAGTTGGGCTAACTTCACTGAGATAGGGTTCGCAAATCAAAATGCAAAAACAACATATATTGGAATAAAATAAAAACAAAGAGTCACGTTACGGTCCTGAAAACAATCCTCGTCAGTACCAAGTAAGTCGACTAAAAAGCCGGCACGGGAGTAAAAGAAATGGTGCATTAGAATTCGCACATGCTGCAACACGCGACACCTGTACGCGATTGCTTAAATTACCCAGATTTATAAACAAATTGACTTAATCATATGAAAATTCGCACTGAATTTGTACGATTTATGCTTTGGAATTTTTCTAATCCCCCTCGAGGTAGTCGAAGTCACGTTTTGACATTTTCACCTGCTGGAAATGATGTCTTAAATCTTTTTTTTCAAGCGGGTAAGCAAACAGGGATTTGTTATGCAACGATGGTCCTCAAGAAACTGCTTCAGAATGAAAATATTCGTACAGCTGTATTATTAAAAAATATTTAAGTGTATCGTGTCATGGCCAGTTTTTTCTATCTAGCCAATGGCAACTGAAAAAGTTACCAGTAACGTGACCTGTTAATATTTCCAAATATTGGTATTGGGTAAAAGAAATCTAATAGAAAGCAATTTTCAATTACTTATTTTAGATTATTCGGCATGCACCTTAAAGTTGTAAACCTATAAAACGTTAATGATTAGGCATACCATACGGTTTTTAGACTTCATCGATAAAATAACATATTTTAAACAAAATCCTAATCTTAATTTAAAATGTCTACATTTTGGACATTCACAGAAGTTTAAATTGAAAGATTCTATTACTTATTGAATATTTGTAATATTTATACTGAATATGAAAAATAGCCTTAGATGGCAACTTGTACAACGTTAGTACAGTAAGTACAAATTCTAGAAGGTTGGGGAGAAAATATAGAAAAACGTATCTATATTTGCATTTGAGAACGATTTAATATGTTGTCTATGATTATCAGCAACAGATTCGATGAAGTGTAGAAAAATTTCGTTGGTATTACAAGAAATTCTATAAAAAATATATATTTTAAAATGTATTTAACGAACTATTTAATAAAAGAATCAAGGATAATATAACGAGACCTTGATAAATAGTCGACTATTTTTATTGTATCTAAATTTTGAGTGTTTTTGGTACCAATTTGTCGTGACATAATTTTGTCATTAATAATCTAAATAGAGTCCGAGAGCTTTAGCTCGAGGATTTTATTCTTTGATTATAATTATTAATGACAAAATTATCGAGACAAATTGCAAAATACACGAAAAATTTAGTAACAATAAAAATAGGCGCTAATTTATTAAGGTCGAGATATATTTAGTAAGATTATTTCTAGAGCCCTAGATGTAACTCAAAAAAAAAAAATAAATACACATTAAAATAACTTTTATTTCATAAATTAGAAAAAAATAGTTAAAGTTAAAACAACAATTATTGTAAGTGACATTTCCAGTTTGCATAATTTGAGACATTCGTCCTGCTTTTGAGAAGTAGCGGTATTCATGGTAGCAGTAGAAACTTGACTTTCCTCTACCGGATTAAAATCAGTATTTACAGAAGTGGAAGCTTGACTTTCTGTATGTCCTCGAAGTTGGTTAATAACACTTTGATGATGCTGGTCATCCATCTGTAAGTATGGTTGAATAGATGATGAACTATAATGCCCAGTTATTTTAATCAATTATTGCTCGGTACACCTGATTTTGCAAGTTGAGAGACCGCTTGGTGTCTAATCCAAAAGACTCCGCACCCAATTTGGTCCATTTAGAAAACTCATTCTTTCCAATAGGTGAATTTTTGTACCAGAAAGAGTTAATATTTTGCCAAAATAGATTTGGAGTTAAAAATAAACGTGAACAAGTGAATTGTGGACCTCGTTTTCCAATCAATTTTTTGAATAATCTAACTGGGCAGTATTGCGGATTTTGAGTATTTGGAATCAACCACTTACTATCTGCACATTTTTTGTCTCCTCCTTGGCAAATTTTCGTAAAAATAGGATTATATTCCAGTGGCGTGTATACAATAGAAGAATAAAAGCATTGCCTACCCTAGAAAAATTAGCAATACAATATACATATTTTTTTAATTAACGATACAAAATAATGAATTACTATCTGTCTTAGTGCTCTCACAACTCGTAATATAATAAATTAAAATATTATATTCCTCTCGCCCCTGCTGCAAGAGGTATGCTCCGCTCTCCGCTCTACTCTGAATAGGCATCCCATTTAAGGTAGTTCACTCGCGACAGTCGTACATAAAAATATCGCTTAATGGTGAATACCAATAGTTCGAGATTCTCAATGCTAATCAATTTTATTTTTGTAAGAGACTGTACAAAACACATGTAAGCTTATATATATGGATTTTAATAAAATCCATCCGGCAACCTCATAAAAACATGAATGGTTTGCTATAGAAATGTGTGACTTCCTCATATTAATTTTAAGGGTTTGTTTTGGTTCAAACAGAACCGCTGATTCCAGTTCTCAAATACAGTGGACGAATTAATTTTTCAAGAAAACGTCGCGAGGTTATAACATCCTCTTAGCTGATCGAGTGTTATGTTGCTACAACGCGTTGATTGCAGCGTATACAACGTTGCCAAGCTGTAATAATTTTACGGAACTACGCGTCGATTGCTTTAAAAATATTTTTATTTTAAAAATGTATATCTTTATACTAAGACGGTCAAAAAATTTAGCGTTTCTTTAGAAAATTTTATAACTTCTTGATTTACATTACATTAGTTTTTAAAAAATATGGTAAGAACCGTTTTCGAGATATCTTGAAATAAATGCATTACTTGTGTACATGAGAGGCTTCAAGAGTGTTAATTATGCACATTTTGATTGTTAATATCTCGTTTCACAGACGGTCAAAAAATTTAATTTTTTTTATTTACATAAAAGACACTTTCATTAACCTTATATTTCAATTTTATTGAATTCTTAAGAAAAGCCGTTTTACGAGTGAACTACCTTAACAAGAAAGACAGGCAATTTCAACTGATCAATACTAATTCAAATAGAGTACATAAGCAGTGCTTATGGTGTCGAACAGTGTCGATCTGACCCGTCCGATAACGAAGACACTTATTCACATATAAATATAGGGTTTGTTCCGGTTTCTTTAAAATTTGATGCAGACTTTCCGAGATCCAGTGGAACAGCTCAATCGCAAATAATTCATCGCGTACAACTTTTAAACTATTCACTGGTCAACTACCTAGTCAGGTGATAGTTCTGAGCGTGATAGTTCCCGAATCGAACAAGTAGAATCAATATTATCAATTACCGTGATTTTAATTTGGATCGAGTATCGGTTGATTTTTACCATTTTTGGAAGTGATTTTAAGACAGTTGATAATTATAATCTGTTAAAATAAAGTACGAGTGTGTCGGTACCTTGTGTGTGTGTGTCAGTGACAATAAAAACTGTATTGTGAAGTTAAAATCAACAGCGTTTCACATGTTAACATTTGACGAAAAGCAGAGGGTGGTCGAAATAGGTAGGCCTACTCCACCTTTAAAATTAATCCAGCTATCAAAGAAAACGACACGGTATTTTAATAAGTCTTATGATAATTATAAGTGGCTCTGTGGTTGTATACATGACAACAAACTGTACTGTTGGTCATGTTTATTATTTTCTGAATACAAAAATGTTTGGAACGTGACAGGTTATATAGACTTAAATAATTTTTCTAACGCGTCAAAGAAACATGATCAATCAACAAATCATTTAAATTCTGCTCTTGCTTTACACAGTTTTGGAAAAACACGTATAGAAAGAAGTCTTTCACGTCAAATTCGAGAAGAAATCGAAAGACATAATGCCAAAGTAGATAGGAATCGAAATGTTATGCGTAGGCTTATTGATATTACATATTACTTGGCGAAACAAGAGCTGCCTTTTCGTGGACATATTGAATCGGCAGAATCTGCAAATCGTGGCAACTTTATAGAGTGCATTAAATTACTTGCAAATTATGACGGCATATTGAGCGATCATTTACAACAATCCGCTTACCATGACCAAAACAAAACCAGGGCCGGGTTCAGTGGATTATCTAACCGAATACAAAATGATTGTGTTGCCGTTATGATCGATGAAACCCCAAATGTTAGCGGAAAAGAACAACTTTGCATAATTTTAAGATATTTTGACCAATCTCATGAAGTTGTTGACCGATTCGTCGGGTTTGTTGATGTAAGCTCCAATCGTACTGCTGAAGTGTTAACGAAAATGATTATTGACTTTTTAAATGACTACAAATGTTGTACAAAATTAATCCTGCAAACTTATGACGGAGCCGCAGCTCTTTCGTCAGAGAAAAATGGTGTTCAAAAAAAAGTTCGTGAAACGTGTCCAGATGCTTTGTATGTTTGGTGTATTGCCCATATTTTAAATTTAGTCCTCTCAAAGTCTTGCCAGAGAAATTCTGAAACTAAACATTTTTTTTCGACCACTAAAAACTTAGCAACATTTTTCCATACGGGTACTAAGAGATCGGATTTATATAACAAATTCTGTTCAAAAAAATTACCCCGTGTTGTGGTAACTCGATGGGTTTATAATTCAAGGACAATAAATATTATTTTTAGTGAACACAAGAACTTGCTTAATATTTTGAATAACATTTGCGAAAATGAAGCAAATTGGGACGGAGATACACTTTCAGCGGCTAGAATGTACGAATTTACTTTGAACGACTTCGAGTTTAATTATTTTTTAGAAATTTTCAATGCAATATTTATACAAACTGATATTCTTTTTAATATAATAGAGTCGAAAATCGTAGATATTGGCTATTGTTTAAAAAAAGTAAAAGGATTTAAAAACTTTATTGATAATTTTTACAACGAATTTGAAAACATTTATGAAAGAACTGTAACTTTTTGTGGCGAGCCAAAAAAAAAAGCGGATTAATGATGTAAAAGTACATTATAAGCGAATATTTCGAGAAATATTGGACAATATTAAAATGGAAATTTCTGATCGATATAGCGAAATTAACCAGCTGCGTTTTTTCCGCCTTCTGGACCTAGATTCTTTTTCGGAATTCAAAGCTAATTTTCCTGACGACATATTTTTGGATCTAAAGACAAAATATAACGAACGATTCGACTATGACAGATTAAAAAATGAGTTGATTTGTTTATATTCTTCATCAGAATTTTCCGGTCTCAATGCCTATGAAATTATTAAATTTTGCGAAAAGAACAGAATGTGCCACGTGTTTCCTCAACTTGTTGCGTAAGCCAAGCTAGTTGTGACGATACCAGCTAGTAGCGCTTCAGCAGAACGATCTTTTTCCGATTTAAAACGCATTCATACCTACTTACGAAACACACAGGGACAAGAAAGATTGAGTGACTTGGCAATTATTTCAATTGAAAAGGAACTTATGCAAGACCTGAAATGAAATACCAATTTTTATGATGATGTATTAAATGAGTTTTTAATAAAAGACCGCCGTATTGACCTGATTTATAAAAAATAATTGACCTGATTTATAAAAAATAATATATAATTTTAGTGTTTTTTTGTGCGTTCGTTACTCAGTTTGTTATTCAAGAACCCATTGTTATAAAAATACTTAGTTTTAAGTCATAAAATGCAACGTCTAATTCAAATATTGACAGTTCTGAACGAGAACATATTTTGATGGATTATGGTGAGTAATTTTTATACATTTGTAAATGTTTGCCTACCCTACTGTAACAACTATTGCACGCCACTGTTATATTCTAACCTGCCTGTTTTTTACCATCTTCAGAGGCTTCAAATTTAAAATATTCTGTTAAACATGTTGCGCCTTCCCCACCGTGCCAAGCTAATTCCACGAAAGCCAAATAATAGAAAATCTTTTGGAGACCGTTTGGAGTTTGTTCATCCAATTTGTCAATAATATCGTATATTTTAAACTTAGAGCTGTAGAACTTTGTTTCCTTTTCTCTGAAGATTTCTGCAATTCCCGTCTTTTTGCAATTCGTGCATCGCGAGCACTTTTAAATTCAATACCTTGAAATGGATCTATCTTTATATTAAATTTTTTAAGATATATTTCTTATAACGCCTTAGATGTTGAGTTCCACATACACTTTAAAGAATACTCTTTGTAGTCGCTTCCGTCTTCTTTTTCCATGTTCCAAGCCCAATCTTTTAAAATATTACATAGTTCAGAAACAGTTTTATCATTTGATAAAACATTTGCGCTGAACGCAAAATTTCATAAACTGATTCCACGCACTATTTTTACTTTTGATTGTATTCTTCGGGGTACTATTGTCTATAAAACTGTCTATTTTTTCGCTATTAACACACCCAAATCGGTTTATTCATTTTAAACGTTTCACTAATATATTAATTTTTAGTCTGACACTTAATATTATTTGACCACTTTTAATATTACACCTACAATCAAGTATGCGAGTTGCTGTCAACATAGGTGAATATCGAGCACCATGCATGGATAGTCGATTTCAAATAGTCAGTGAAAATAGTCGATTTAATTGTTTCTGATTGGTTCTAACAATAACGTAAATTGCGATGTGATTCGTTAAAATTTCAAATCTGACAGGCGAGGGAAATAATCAGATATATCTAACACAATCTTGGTGAATCTGAATTTTCGAAATTAATATTAAGATGATAAATTGATACAAAAATGGTGATTATCCGAAAGTGACTTAAAGGAAAGAAACTTTATACTTCCAGGGATGGTGGTAACACATGCTATTTATGTCTGAAGTTCATTACATCAGGTGTCTCTGCCTCTTTAATCGCAGCGTCTCCTTCGTAAAGGAAAATTATATCGGAAGTGACTAATGGTCCGCCTCAACGTCCATCGCATGATAAATTATTTACAGTTGAATAGTTCATCCATTTTTCTGAAAAAATCGCATTGCATATTGTAGATATACCAATTTGATAGTTTTCAAGTTCTTGAATTTCGCATTTATAATATAATTTATTCAAAGTAGATGTTCGTTATTCAACTACTTTGATGCAAATCTCTTTCGCGTAAGTTATATTTTCCCGTTTTGATATAAATACTTAATAGCTGGATGTTGCTTGTTCTTAATTGTTCTTAATAATCAGAGGATATTATTCATTATCTTTTTAGACTACCTACTGTATTATTTTAACGCTATAAATATAAATAAAAACAGTGTAAATAGCATAAAAATATACACGGATAAACACCATTATAACATTGTAAATTCAACAATAAAATTCTGTTTTTTTTCTCGTCTTAGTCATAGATACATAAAGTATCGATGCTGGAATAATATTAAAAGAAAAATATCGATAGTGGTATGATATCGGTGCACTGGTGTCGATACAAAATATTAAAGTATCAAAAGAAAAGTATCGATACTTGTAACTTATCACTATCAATACTATTAGAACATTCCTAACCCCAAAAATTTTGCTGCTTGGTCACATATGGGATAGAGGATCACTAGAGAAATCAGATCGGCATAGGGTTTAACTATATATCTAGCAATAAGTCTTGGAGGTTTCACTGAGTTTACGTTTTACCCCTGCGGTCCTGTAAACAACACTGTGATGAAAAAAAGATAAAAAGCAGTTCTAGATGTCTTGAAAGGAATTATGGGTTGTACTTACTATTCCCCTTCGAATCTCTCTCTGTATCTGTAAGCCTCTTATATTCACTTCTTCTACACTTATGTGTACTTCTCGCTTTGAGAGTATGTGGAACATTCCTTTTGGTTAGTGAGTGTATTATCTTTGAGAAGGTGGTTTTATCAAAAGCACCTTCTCTGTCTATGAAAACACCCAAGGCGGACTTAGGGAATCTCTCTATCCGGCCAGCTACTAGATAAAGTGCTGAATCAGTAAATCTGCCTGAGGGGTATGCATGTTGGTTTGGGTATAGTGGTGTTGTTGTAATCACTGCATTCCTTATGTACCTTTCCAATGTCTTCATGAAAAACAATGTTAGACTACTTGGTCAATATGCTTTTGAGACAGTGTAATCCATCCTTCCAGGTTTGAGTATGAATACCACTTTTACTTCTCTTAATTTTTTGGGGATATGCCTTAGAGCCAACGAGGATCTGAATATACCCACCAGTTGCGGTGTAAGTTCTTACAGATCCCACTGAAGAAGGGTTGCATAGATACCAATCGTCGATATTATTTCAATTTTAGTTTTTTGTTGTTTCTTCTTGTAATGTCGTTATTCCAACATCCTAATTTACAAACTGTGAGGTACTCTGTCGAGACAATTTGTTGACTTGTCTCCTTCCTTCTTGATACATTTTCCACCTTTAGTTAACGTAACCTTCAACTTTACAGCCAAGTTCGACGATATCATTGCCTCGCTAAATTTTATATTTTTTTGTTTTCCTTAATTTGGCTAGTTTCTGTTATTCTTATTATCTGCTTGATAACCATATACCTTTCTTCTAATCACTAAAGATGGCAGTAAAACTAATTATAAGCACGCATCTCCTCTCCTTCCCCCAAATTAAAAGTTCTTTTTCTCATGAAGATAGCTTGGTTCTTAACAAGAAATAAGAATAACATGATGATTTACCTATCAATTATTAGCATATACATTTGTAGTTTTAAAGTAAATGAAAAACGTTAGGAATTATTGATATGATTGCAGCAAACTTCACTATAAGGTAAACTATGCCATAAACATTCTAGGAAACAGTAGTTATAAACCTACCCAATTTCGCTTCCTTTGATGCCTTTTACCTTTATCTTTATCGGTTATAAGCAGGTAGATTGAGACATGAACACTACTGAAGTATCTCAGCAATCATGCGTGAGTTTGATCTCAGCAGGAGCTTACTGATTCTGTGTTCTCTTATCTAAGTTTGGTGATTATCCATCTGTTTACTGCCTGTTGAGCAAAGATTTTGCTTATCCCAAATACAAGTTGGGCTCCCCTTAGGCGAGTTCATCAGCCTTTTAATATTCTTAAATACCGTTTTATGTCCTGGTACCCACGGCAATTTTGTCTTATCATGAAGTATTCTAAGGCAGTTTCAGATCAGCTCCAACTTAATTATGTTTGAACCAAGGACCTTTAAGACTAATTGGCTATGTGTGAGAATAACGATGGTTTGTTTTTTATACTCTTTTTAAATTCTATCTTACATAGAACTCGACTGAAATACAATGGTATATTCTCCCAAATGAAACGGAGGTGTGGTATCTGCGTTTTACTCTATGCATGCCAGAGCTTGGTCCTATGCTGCCTTTAGATACAATCATATGTCATACGAGATCCCTAAGTATTTTTTTAAATCCTGATTTACCTCGTTCCAGTTTCAGTCGACCTGGAAGTGTTCGTTAAAGGTTGGTTAGAAGGGGTATCATGTGATCTGATCCCGTTCAATAATATTGATCGACTTTATTGTTTACGTAGAATATTACAAATATAAAAATAAAACTAATCCAAAAAAATGACACAAGTCGAAGTTCAAGTTTAAGGTTGGGGTAACCCTTCCCAAAAACTTGTTTTTCTACGAACTCTTACAAAAAGACATCTTTCGCCACAGGATACTTTCAGCGAAAACTTGATTTCCGTCACCAGTGAGAAAAAATCCCATAACGTTTACTTTCGTCTCTAATGACGAAAGTAAGTTGTTACATATTTTCATATATCAGTCGCCTCGTATAATATTTTGGCAGCTTATAATTATTAATAATGAAATAAAAAGATGCTCATTAAATTCTATATGCGTTTTTACCTAAACTTTAATGAATTAAAGATAAAATAAAAATGTATAAAAATAGCGCAAATTAAACCAATCTACATCTAGTTTCCTGGTTTTCATTTGTTTATTTGAAGTTTTATCACTTTTGAGAAATGTCAGTTTCAGTTCGTCCTAAATTTAACACATTTTCATGATGTCTGAGTCAGAAAGCGATTGTACTCCCCC